ACAGATTCCCTTTCAGTAACCAAGGTTACAACATTTTTTAGTTGTAAATGGACGCAATAACTTTATATGTGGTGCTGAGGATGGAACCCAGTGCCTCACATATTCTACACAAGTGTTCTACCACTGAGTCACAACCCCAGCCCAGCCCCCCAAGGTTCTGAATCCAGGTCAGAGATCAGGACTGCTCCTGAGGAAAATTTAGGTTTTTTTTTTCTTTATAAAGTTTGTTTAAGCACCTCAAAGAACATGAGGCTCTATTATTTGACAAGAACTACATGAGGAAGACATTAATAGTTTGGACTCGCATGCAATTTCTTTTTTCATGCTCAGATTTTTCGCTGCTCAGAAGTGGGAATTGGGATTTCTTTCTTATGGCCATCTTACATTTATCCTGTCTTGTTCAGAACATTGCTGACATTTTCCACTGATATGTGACCTAGGCTTTCAAAATAAGGTCTGATGTCCTGTGATGGGGTGAATTGACTAAGTGGTCATAGTTCTGTATGAGTATTTTAACTGAAAACAAAAGGGTAGTGTTTGTTATCTGCTTTGGTGGATACAGTTGTAAATCTAGTTTCACATGTCATTTTAGAATCTGCTTTGGGTGGCATTTATAATGTGCTTATTCTGATATGAAAGATGTTTCCAGCATATAGGAAAAAGGTTTGAGGTTTGGCATTTTGGGAAAAGAACTACTTTGGTGAACTGTAGAACAGACCTGATGTTTTAATACAGTGGTGCTTTGGGGTCTGTATTTATGGATAGACTGGTTTGTTTTGAACTTAAGTATTCATATTATCTCCCTTTTTCTGAAGGTATGAAAAATTATTTAACACTATGCAACTAAAGTACTTTTAGACATTTGCTTTATGAGGAATATAAACAAAAAACTGCCATAAAATAGAATAAAAGAATCAAATACACATAGGGGTTTAAGATGAAGTAAGTATTGTTCGTTTTTCAATATTTCCTTGGGGTGGAGGACAGTCATCACTTACTTGCCCAAGTTAAAGTCTATGTCTCTGGACACACCCACTCAAAATAATCATTATCCCAAGGAACTCTCCCAAGAGCCTCTACTGAAAATGCCTTTCATCTCACATCTGCTACCCTAACCATCCTGTCTCCCCAGCAAGGGCTACAACCAGGTCATCTTTATTCTAAGCTGGGAATGCAAGGGTGCCACTCACATACTGAGCAAGTGACCAGGCTTGGTACATAGAAACCTGGGAGTTCCCCATAAGTCAAGGGGTCCTGAGTACCTGAAACTCTTTTGGTCAAGACAAATTATGACATTCAAAGCAAGTTGAGGATAAAGGCTTTTCTATTTTGGTAAAGCAAAAGGCTGAGAAACAGACGATGAGAAAAGGAAATACTAACCGTAAGTCAATAACAAATACCAGAAAAATGAGCTCCTCTTAGTATTTATTGCACCTGACAAGGCAGATGTTCAAGAAAAGGTTCCTGAACAAAGAAAGCTGAGGAGAAATAAATGCAGCCTCTAGGGTCATTTCTATCATTTAACACTTATTACTCTGAGAACACTTACATATTGCCTCGATGATAATGTTCACAAATTCAAGATTTCAGTAAAATATGGTGGCACACACTTGTAATCTCGGTGACTTGAGAGACTGAGGCAGGAGGATTGCAAGTTTGAGGTCAGCCTCAGCAACTTAGACCCTGGGATGTGGCTCAGTGATAAATTGCCCCTGGGCTAAATCCCCAGTACACCCTCCCCTCAAAAAAAAAAAAAAAAAAAAAGTTTGGAATCACTTCTGAGTGAATCCCAAATATTCTCATTTGGGGTTCAAAGAGGGTCTCTGGCAAGGAGGGATGCTGAATGTGCCTTGTCACAAAGCACACCTGTAGGATACTTTTTCATAAATAAAAATGGGAACTTTCACAGCAATTTTCTCGAATTGCTGGCTCTCCTAGCTGTGTACACTCTCAGCTGCCCACTGCTTGGGTAATGGGATGAACCACTATGTCTACAGCCTTAGGAAACAGCCAAGGGTCGCTATGATTCAACTGCAGCTACTTCCCAAGATTTGCATGGTCTTTTATTTTGCAGTATTCTGTTTTGTGAAAGGACTCTGACTTCCTATACACTGCTCTTTCCATGACTCAGAACACTACTGTGGACAACCAGTTCTATTGATGAGAAACATCTAAAATATCTAAAATATCACTGGTGTGACAAAGGGAATTTGTAAAAAAAAAAAAAAAAAAAAAAAAAAAAAAATCTGAGGCAGCTCTTGTCAGATATCAATCCTACTTGAGAGGACACAGAGCCACAAAATAGTGTACACATAAAGGGTACCAAACTGAGTATGGGTTTTTCTTTAAGAAAGTGTTAGAGACCTGAGAGGCATACAGTGTTTAATAACCTGCAGCAGGAAGTCCCTCAGCCCCCATCTGGGGACTGGCTTCCCTTGGTGACAGTAGTGATTTGTTGGAAGATTGGCCTTGGAGTCATCCTGTATTGGTCCTTGGTTGCCGCCCTTTATCTCCTTTCAACCTTCCTTCCTACATCTATCTTTCTCTGTCTCTTACTTTACCCATGCTGCGCTCTGACTGGCTTTAGGATGCTTCCAAGATTGTTTTCACATAAATGCTATGGGTAAAAGATGAGGGACATGGCTACTTAACTTTTCCTGTTTCCCTGCTGAATTCTTGGTTTACCCAAAGTACAGCTCAGCAGAGCAAGGTCCTTTGTGGGTCACTCTAGGAGCCACTTAATTTACCTGGATCAAGAGGTGAAGCAGGGTAGATGTGATTGAGCTGCCACTTACGAGAGACTTGAGCCCAGGTTAAGCTCCATTGCAAACAAAGGTTTTTATTAAGTGTGAATAATCAGTGTGCTTAAGAAAGACTAAAATTAACAAATGTAAAGATGACATGGGATGATTTCCTTGATATATTTTTTAAGTACTTATTTTTTAGTTGTAGTTGGACATACAAATAAAAAGGTATTATTTGATGCTGAAGATCAAACTCAGGGCCTCACACGTGCTAGGCGAGCACTCTACCACTGAGCCACAACCCTCCTTGAGATGTTTGAACACATGTTACCAAATCCACTAGGTGGGAGGACAACGAGAATGCCACCCAGCACGGGATAATCTGACCAGGGGACATGAAATTACTCTGAATACGAGGGAGGTTATTTGGTTTGCTTCTGCAAAGGCCCACACCGTCAGGTGACCTCTCTTGCTTTTTTTTTTTTTTTTTTTTTTTTTTGGCTGCAGAGATCTTTATTTTCTGTAGGAAAGGATCTGGCTTCCTGGCCTTGCTTTCCTCAGGCTCCCTAGTGACCTTGCCCATATATTTGTTGTACTCTCCATAAGTAACCTCAACCTCTTAGGATACACTTGCCTCAGCACCTGAGCAACAGTCTGCAGCCCCTGCTCTTTAAACTATGCAGAAGTAAAATGACTGAGAATTTAGTACAGCAGGCTTTTTCTACCACCCAGGAATCGGAGTGTAGCTAAGTGACTCTTAATGCCTATATTTACTGATTCAGAGTTTAATCTTTGAATCAGTATAAGGAAGCAAGATGGTTTTTGAGGGGTACCAAACTATGGCAAAGATATGTAGCTTGTATATTAGGGCATTTTTTTTTTAAGAATTTTATGGGACTTTAAATCTATCACTAACTCCTTCAAGTAGGTAATTTTGGTATGTGAAATCCTGACTTTTTAAATCTTTGCAGAAATGAACATAGTACTGGATTTCCCCAAATGATGATAGTTTCACATCTTGTCCAAATACTAACCAAAACCAGAGGAAAAATCTTTAATGAAACACTTCTGGTATGTATAAGCAAGTCAGTAACAAGAGAACACTTTAATAGCAAACTTTCATGCTAACTTAGTACTATAATGGAAATATTATCTCCTTTTCATACAAAATCTTTGATTCCCCTTGAGATATTAATAAAGAAAACACGGTCTTTTAATTTTTCTGTTTAGTGAAAGGACTGACTTCTTACATGCTGATGTTTCCATGACTCGGAATACACAGGACAACCAGTTCTGTTGATGAGAAACATCTAATATCACTGGTGAGACAAAGGGAGTGTGTAAAAAGAGCTTTGAGGCAACTCTTCTCAGATATCAATCCTACTGTAGAGGACACACAGCCACTTTGACTATATGGAATATAAAATTATTTCAGCTTTCAGATTGGTAATAAATGGTGCTTAAAAAAAAAAGCCCCCACCAAGGCTCCTTGATGATTTCAGGTAAATAGTATACATGAAACATACTAGGAAATCTGTTCAGATGCAGTCTTAAAGCATCTCAAGTGGTGTAACTCATATGTTGTATGTCACTGTGGTTCAGTTGTCATGCATTCTAATTTTTGTTTACAAGGTACTCTATTATGTTACAATTAGAACACTTTACATACCCTGGCTTCACAAAAATGGCTTTCAAGTTATTTTAGTGGTACTAATTAAACGTTTTAAAACTATATGGTGAAACTGAAGTAAAGGTCAGGAAAACAGAACTATTTCAATGACATTTTGTCTTCTAAGTAATCCTGAATAACACCTGACACAAGTAGGCTCCTGTGTATGCTGATCAGCTAAGAAATCTTTTAATATTGAAATTGGTGAAGTATGGATGGGGAACACTATACTGCCCATATTTTTTTTTAAAGAATGTTCTTAGTTGTGGATGGACACAATATCTTCATATGGTGGTGAGGATCCAACCCAGGGCCTCACGCATGTGAGGCTTCAAGTACTCTACCACTGAGCTACAACCTCGCCAATATAAATTTGAGAAGAGAAATAAATGTCTTTTTCAGTAGGAACGTTGTGGCAGGAGAAGCTGAAATAAAATCTTTCTGAGAACTTAAAACCCAATATTATTTATTTTCCCAGAAGAAAAATAATGTTGGCTTTCAGATATAACTTTGATTACATGGAATATAAAATTTTAGCATTCAGATTAATAATAAATGGTGATTTAAAAAAAAAATCCCCAACAAGACTCCTTGGTGATTCCAGGTCGATAGTGCAGGTAACAGACTGCCTGTCCTTACCACACCTCCCATCATGGATTAATGCATTTAAGGACTTAAGAAGGGAGCTATAGACTACTGATATCAATGGATCATCTAAGAGTTGCATATAACAAAGATTTATGACCAGAGTCGCATTCAGACCACTGGCAATTTTGGTTACAACTATTTTCTTACTAAACAATTCACAGGATTTGGCGAATTTCTGAACCTTCTTTTCCCCCTGAATCAACTTGCAAATTCAGAACAGTATTCGTGTGCTTTCTGGGTATGGATTAGCCTCCTAAAGTACATAATTCCAATAATTATCAGTGACAGAAGGGATGAATAAATTATGCTTCAAGCATAACAAAATTAACAGTAAAAAATGTTTGCATAAGCTTTTCTTAATTCATGAGCCTATATTAAATTTAATATTCTATACAACTGATATGATCCTGAAAGACTCCCAATGAGTTATTAATCTTGAACTGTACCACAGCCTGCTTCAGGACAAGGAATAAAATAGAATTTAAATGCTGCAGATGTCATGATGTTTTGAAAAGCTTTTTTAATTTAAACAGTTATGATGTGAATTGCAAATTCTAACAGCCTGAGTGAGTGAAATACCAATACCATGTTCATTCTTTACTCCAGAATGCAGGGATTAAGCTTTGGGTTTTGTTCACAAAATTAAAGTCAGAGCCATTATTCTCTCTCCTTGCTGAGAGCTTAGTGTTGAGGCCTAAATGAACAGGGTCTGGCTATTTAAAAAATAATTAAAAACAGATTCACTTGGAAGTACGGAAAGGGGTAGAAATGTCTTGTCTACTTAATGCACGAGTCTGTGGTTTATCATGGTATATACTATCAAAAGAAAGTTCCATGTTCTTATAATATTTGACCTTAGGGAGAACCATGCTGATTAAAAAGAAGTTGTTTTGTAACGTTAAAGGCAAATTTATTCCTTCATTTTGGTCTGAATGTACTAATCACTGAAAGGGTACAAAATTTGCAAGGATATTTGCAATGGACACAAGTCATTCTTTTGAGTTCTGCACAATGGTATTCACAGGCAGCAAATAGTGAGAAAGGAATGTTCTCTTAACCTCTTCCCAATAATCCTAAGGTGATATATATATCTGGACACAGCCTCAAGCACTTATAAAAGACTTCCAGGCCACCATTACCATATCCTACATATAGGTGTGTGTGTGTGGGGGGGGTAAGTTGCCTGAATGCAATGAGATTCACCTCAATAGAATCCTAGTTTTAATGCTGGTACATTTTGAGCACTGTGCTTGCACACCTGTCAGCTACTGAAGATATCTAGGAAGCATAAGGGTAAATGAAGAAAAGTGGAAAGATCAGGGCTTTCTTATTAGTACTCATTTGATTTCTGAACTATCTAATTCACACCCGTCTTGTACTTCACAAATATTTGTGTATGTCTACACACTACTGATCTAGAACCATGACTTCTGACAGCTCTGGAAACGGTACTACTGGGGGGAATGACCCTTCTATGAGGAAGATACTTAACCGTCACTTTTATGGACTTGTACCCGGTAGAGCTTTGAAAATTTTTCTTGCCATTAAGAGGACTCTGTGGACTCCTGGGGCCTTTTTGGTGAATTCAGACAACATTAAAAAGGACATGCATGGGTTTATAAAACATGCCTTTACATTTTCCTTTAATTTGAGCATCACTCTAGCTGCTCTTACCCCAGACTACCTTCCTGGTTACACTTCTTGCTGTCCCAGCAATCTAACATCCTTTAATTGGGTGCTCTAAGGACAGTTCATATTCAGACTGAGGGAATTGACAGTAGAGGAGCATGATGATTCTTACTGGGCTTATTTCTGTCAAAACTCAAACAAAAAACCCCACACTCATGGGCATTCCAAATAATTCCCCCTACAAGTGTCTATTTACAGAYAGACTCTCACCTTGACAGAGTAGAAAGCCAGCTGTGTTTGGAATGTGAAAACTGATAGCACCAACTGAGTAGGGTCTGTGGCATAGGACAGTAGCCCACAAACTGTGCGTGATGTAGAAAATCTTTGAGAAACATCAGTGGTCCTAGGTGTGAAAAAGACAGGTTTTTTTTTTTTTTTAATTTTTCACATGTTTAAAACCTGTGCTTTTCTATYTACAGTGGTCTGAAATGGCAGGATCGCTTGGTTAGCCAAAAAAGGCCTTGGTAGGACTATTTCTTGGATAAATCTGCATTTCACATAGTTTAAAGTTAAAAAAAAATAATAACCTTACAGGATGGTTGCCAGCAATATGGTATAAACTCATCATTAACAAGAACAACAGTATTAATCTGCTGGAGGACAGTCTTGAAGGCTGAGCTTGGCACTGTGACTATGTGATTTTCCTTTTGATGATGGTAAGCTCTTTCTGAAGTTCACTGAATGTAGGACGGTTTTCAGGATTATAATCCCAACACTTCATCATAATTTTAGAAATTTCCTCTGGACAGTTTTGAGGGGCTGACATCCGGTATCCTAAAGACCCAAGAGAACAAAGCATTCATTTCTTAAGTCCATTCTCATTTCTCACACAGGGTATATGCATTTTGTGAATTTTAGTACCTTATGTTGTAGGTATTATAATAGAAACAAAAAATCCATTTCAGAGTACATTCTCCCTCCTCATGGGCCATAGAGAAATCAGTATTACACAGCCACTAATACTTAGTTCAAAAAACATGGTCAAGAAGATATACTACAAATGCATATTTTAGTTGTTAGTGTTTAAAAGCTCATCTCTGCCCCTAAGAGTGAAGGAAAAATGAATGAGTCATAAGCTGCTGTCTGGAAGTGTTGCTCATATGTGTGACTCTGCCAGTGTGGGAGAGGGAGGTTCTCAGCCCTGTCCCCTGGGCAGCCTCAGGCCAGGGTACATTACTGAATCTCAACAACATCTCTTTGAGGAAGCTGTGGATGACAGTAGTGCCTGCTGGGAATAACTAGTTTTTGGTGATGCTATAGCTCTGGTCTGGAAGCCTTCCCGCCCCAGGATTTCTTCAGAAGTGTTATAAAATTCTCCAGTTCTTGAAGACAGACAGCATTGTACTTTGTAATATTTTTAAGTAGATTTATTTGGTATGGAATAAAAAAATAATAGGCTGGGAATAGTAACCTGTTTTCACGGAAGACATTGAATGGTACGGCACTACAACTTCATGCCAAGCAGAGAAGGGGTGGAGAAACAGCTTGTTTTCTACTTTTAAAGTATCAAGATACTTCAAAGTGTCTGTTTCGTTATATAAAAGCCATGGGATTCAAAAGCAGAATTATGTACTACATTTTCTCTGCTTACACACCTAAATAGCATAATAGCCTCTTTGTCAGCAATCTGGCCAGGAGAAACACCATTGGCACTGCTGCCCCCAAGGCTGGATTTGAACCCTGCCCTTCTGGGTCTCTGGCTCACCTCTTTCCACTTGCTCTCGTGCTTGTTGATTTGTCATTCCAGGGTAAGGAGAGATCCCTAAGCTGAAGGTCTCCCAGAGCAGGATGCCAAAGCTCCATACATCACTCTCAGAACTGTATCTTCCTGGGAGGGGAACAACAAACCATAACCAGGTGAGGGACAGGGACAAGGAGGTGACAGGTTCTGGTTATGTATGTCAGTCACATAATAACTGAACTCACCAAAGGACCTCAAGAGCTAGTGCTTCTATTCTTTTCACTTTTATTTTTTATACTTCAGGACTAGTTATGTCATCAAATAATCACTTGCCCCCTCTTCTCCCCACCAAGAGCAAATTTCAGCCAACATGCAGGCTTACTTTCCTGGAGTGTCATGAGTGAGGTGGTTTATATAAAAACATGTAAATGTACACACATCAGTGCCTAGGAGATTAAATAAGTTGGATTTCTGCAATTTTGTCTTCTGCATCATTTTCTTTCCACTAAAATTGCAAACAAACCTAAAGCAATAAGAAAACTTTAATTTCAATTTTTTACTCATCACTGTTTACAGATATTCTTACATACTTAAAGGTCTCATTTTCTCTGATTTACAGAAAATATATTTTTCTATCAGCAAACTGTTTTGAAGAGTGGAAATTAACATAGCTGACTGATAAAAACAACTTCTTTAAATTACATGGTGCCTTGTTTTGTCAAAATAGCTCAGTAAAACAGGTGCACCAAGATAAGCTCTTAGAACATATGTGGTAGCTTTCAGGAAATATAGATAAATCAACACAAGATGGATGTGAAATCAAAGAAGGGTAACAGAAAGGTCCCTTCCAAGACTGTCCCAAGATATTTAATTTTATGTATAGGGCACATACCATCACAATTACATGTAGAAGGTTTTTGAAATGATTTCAGTTTCTGTCCCTCCTCTAAAACAATTACTATAAAGAATATTCTTGAAGTAAAGGAGAGTCTGCCTGCACTGTGTTAACTGATCTGTTTTGAGTGGACTGAGTAAAGGTTCGGGCTATGTTATTTCAGCTTTCCTCTTGGTAGATGGTAATTATGGACATAAATCTTGCTACCCAACAGCATAGTTAGTTTTCTTATCTGCAAATCAACTATTATGATGATCCAATAGTTTATTTTTCATGAAAGTATCTTATTTTGTAAAATAATATATGGATGGGTATCAAGAAAGGCATATTATAGGTAAACTAAGATCAGAAGTGGAAACGTTCAACCTAGTTTTGGATTTTGAACTTGGTATTGCTGGATAATTTTAAGGATAAGAGCAAGTTAGTTGTATCTTTATGCTTTTCTATCTCTTAATTTTCACAATATGCATGTAGAGAAAGGGTATTATTTTCATCTTGCAAAGTAGGAAACAGATGCAGAGTAGTAGAAGGCTTGCCAAGATCATGCAGTCAATGATGTAACAGATCCAGGACTCTCCATTCAAAACTCTGCCTTTTGGAGTTAAATCACATTAATCAAATTAAAAGAGGATACATCAGCCCCAAATAACCAGGTGACAAGTGGGAGACTGATAATTGATACATGATTTTATTTCTTCATTGGAGATCAGTATCCTCTTTGCCCACAGTATCTTGTGACTGTGGATGGTAGTGATAAATGCCCCACAGTCCAAGCATGTTATAATTTCTGCATTTTAAAAAATTGCTGGGGGTGGGCTGTGGCTCAGCGATAAAGCATTCTTTTTGAGTGTGTGAGGCCCTGGGTTCGAACCTCAGCACCACATACATAAAATAAAGGTATTGTATCCACCTCCAACTTAAAAAAAAATTGCTGGGTAAGATATTCACAAATCAAAGCCAAAGAAATCTTTGAGAACAAGATGAAAATATGATAGGTACATTTGCCTTGAAAAAGGGAAATTATGTAGCTAGAGATAAGGGTAGGAGAAGGGCTTATATAACAAAATAGTAAAAACCAGTTTAATTCTATACCTTAAGCCTACCCTTTTGAAAGGTTTCTTGGATCAGAGGGTTTTTTTTTTTTTTTTCTTCATGTACTCTGCCCATATCTCCAATGAAGTGTGGGGTTAGTGTTTCATCACTGAGGCCAGACTGTAGGGAAGCCTTACCAAATAGAAAAATGTACCAAGGACTTTTAAAAAAAATCTTCTGAAAGTAAGGATTTAGAGCCAATCTTCAGTAATTCTACATCTGAGAACACAATTTCCCAGGACTGCCTGAGGCTTAAAGACTCAGGAATTTCCCCATGGGATTACATACTACAAACTCCTTCCTGATCTAAATATGGAGACTGCCAAAAGAAAGTCCTTCACTGTCAATCCAAGAACTTTGTACTCCTCCTTAAGTTACAATTCACCTAAAATACAGTGATCGAGAGGCATAATCATGTGCTAGTAAGAGGACTTTTAAAAGGCTGTGTAATATAGATTATCTGGCAACCAGGGCTTGGTTTTAGTGATAAAGCTTTAGGGGGCAAAATATTACAATCTTTTACCCTGTGATTCTTCACTTTAGTGATATAACCCCACCATCCAAGACAAAAACCACTGTGGAAACTAGCAGGGCTGCCATTTCCCTGGGTGCTGAGGAATCGTGGATTGGCTTGCAATTACTAAAAAGGTCACAGAAATCTTATTTGCTCTCACAATGAAAGACAAACCAAGGGTAAGGACTGGTATCTGGATTAAGCCCAGCCAGTATACATTCAAAAGTTTTCACTGCTCGAGGAATTACCATACTTTTTCCAGATCACACTAGTACGTACTCAGAATAACTGGATATGTACAGACCTATTTACAATAGCCAAAAGGAGAAAACTGCACCAATATACACAAATGCATGAATAAACTGTGGTATATGCACAGAATGAAATATTATGTTGGAAAAAAGTACTAATGAATGAACCTTAAAAGGATTATACTAAATGAAAAGAGGAATAGAATCAATGTGACCGTCTGTATCATTTCAAATATCTAGAAAGGTAACAGGAGAGGGAGGAAATAGGTACATGATCTTGAAATGAAGAAAATGTTTTGAAACTAGACAAAGGAAGTTGTTTCCCAACACTGAATTATATTAAATGCTACTAAATTTTTCACTTTAATTTCATGAATGTCACCTATTAAAAACCTTTATCCGCTTAATCTAGGCGTTAAAAATTATTTTCATGATTTGCTGATTGAAAATGGAAGGTTACTACTTATTCAAGACATTATACCCATTGTTTTAGACCTTACTTCCCTAAATAAAAAAGTTAAAATTCTCTTTGAAAATGTATTTTTTAGTTTTCGGCGGACACAACATGTTTGTATGTGGTGCTGAGGATCGAACCCGGGCGAGCGCACTACCACTTGAGCTACAGCCCCAGCCCCCAAAAATGTAACTTCTAATTTCACTTAAAGCACTTTTTTCTTTTGCTAAATTCATGAGTTGTTACCCCATTTCATTCTAACCAGAATACAAACTTTCTAATTACAATGACACATAAAAATTCAAGTTAAAAAAAATCACTTTTAATTCCAATCTTTGTCCTCAGGATTTATGTAAGTTCCAGAGAAACTAAAGGATTGACTGACATAATATTTTAAAAGTACATGAAGTTATTGGACCAATTAAAAACATTCAAATAAATGGCCCAGAGCTACCACAACACTTTTATTCTATGTATAATCTGTTTCAATTGTTTGAAACATAAGTGCTTATAATTTTTTTGATCTACCGATCTTTAATCTAGAAATCTGATCAATAATTTCAATTAAGTTTGTGCTCGTGTCGAAGTGCAAGGTCTGAACATTTATGCATTGGGCTGGTTCTCAACTTGGATTTTGCTATATACCCCTGTATAATTACCTGTAAGTGTTTTGTGCTGATAGTCCATTTTTACCACCAAAAAAATAAAAAAGTCTATTCTTACCATAATTAAGAGCTTCTGGTGCTGTCCATTTAATGGGAATCTGCTTTAAGCCAGAAGATGAATATACCCCACCATCCTCTTGACGAGACATTCCAAAGTCACTGATTTTTAGAATATTATTTTCACCTACGAGGCAGTTTCTTGCAGCAAGGTCTCTAGATTATAATAAGACAGAGAAAACACCTATTAAAACAAATTGAAAGACGCTTTCACATTTATGACTTCCAGACTTTGCATTTTTACATTTGCAATGTATTTATAATGAGGTTAAGAAAGCTTGTGATTTACCAGTCCTTCCCAAGTTTCCTGTCATAGGTAAAATATCATCTACAAGAATATTTGCATATGGAACAGGCCACATGCTAGCTTTCTGTGCATCACATATATTTCCATTTAAATAGAAAAGCATGATTCTAAGGTTAAGGGAAAAATCAGAAAGGCTAAGTAAATCTACCATTGTGTCTCCTTGGACTGGCTTCACTGTCCAATAGAACTTGCTGTGATGGAGATAATAGCCATGTGTGGCCACTAAACACTTGCAATGTGGCTCACGTGACTGAGAAACTGAATTCTTCATTTTATATACTTTTCATGTATTAAATTTAAATGGCAGCATGTGGCTAATAGCTACTGTGTAGCCCTCAATATACCATTCTGGAGTTTCTAAAGGCTGGACATGACCGAGGTGCCAGAGGCTGGTAACACTACTGTGTCTGGGACAGGCAAACCCTTCTTGATGAGCTGTTCTTGGTGCTCTCCTATTCAACTTTTTTCATTTACTATACATTCCAGTCCTACTACTATCTTTGGTCTCCAAACCCAGGACAAATTCCCTAAACTCAGAATACTTGTTTCTACTTCCTATGGGTCCTTCTCACTTAGCTCTTCCTTTGCCTGAAATTTCCTCTACCCATTTGCATAGCTGACTCCTGTTCATTTATGCTCTTTCTTCAGAGGGAATATGGAAGTGAACCAAAGTGCTGTGTCTCATTCTAGTAAGAAGGATAGTCAATAATCAAATCTATGTAAACATGTGGGAGAGAAATATATATATATATTCACACATACAAAGAAAAAAAAGTGTCATAGTGCTGTTAAGGGGAAAGAGGTTTAGATAGGCTAGTGAGGAGCAGTGGGATCAGATTCAAGGAGTGTGGTACAGGCAGAAATGGACTTTGAGTCAGTGGGCTTTCACTTCAATACAGAAGTTCCGTTTAGGCTGAATATTTTGCCCTGAAGTTTTTATGTTATGCTTCCCAGCCTTCCCCACAGGTAGGTGTGTCCACAATGTTAAACATGGATTGTCTTGAATTCCAGAAAGTAGCAGCACAATTCTCCCTTCTTTGAACCTGAATTTGAACAAAAGAAACTTTAACCTAGACCCCTAATTTCTTGCTGCTGTTCCAATGTTAATGAGTTGTCAGACATGTCCTAAACTGCTTACTTTTGATCTTGGATTTAGTACTTTAACATGAGAAAATTTTATGTAATTCAAGTGGTCTTCATAATTTTTTTCTCCCTTTTTGGTTTTAGTATGTATTTTATTATATGCAGTTAAGAAAACAGTGTAGAGGTGGATCTGGTTTGTACACATTGAGATATCTCATTTCCCAGTGGAGTTGAATTTGGAGATCAACAGTTGTGGCTTTTTGGTGGTGTTTGAATTGATGGAACTGGAAAATGTTTTCACCTAGAACGTAGAGGGAGAACAGGCACCATTCAAGGACTAGGCCCTAAGGCATGCCATGCCTTGGAGAAGGGTTAAATAAAGGAGCAGCAAGTGAGGCAGAGAGAAGCCATAGGGGAGAGTATGGTGGTCCTAGCTTCATTTTACTCATCTAAAAAATATAATCTAGCAGGGTTGAGTGCAACAATGTTTGTAAAGTACCAGCATATAACATGTGGCTCAGTATCTCCTATGTATTGCTGCTACTGTTACAAGAGGTCCTGAAACAGTATGCATAAATCACTTCACAGAAAGTCTTTAAGAGTGTTTTGCTTACAAAGGAAATGTGGCCAGCACCTGAAAACTCAGGACTACAAAAGGTACATATGCAAAAGCATGCTTCCAAAGATAAAATCAATAATAGTTGCATGTTAAGGATTTCATTTTGTAAAACTTTTACTAAGTTTCTACATTATTCTCTGTCAATGAATAAAAGTCATAAGGCCTTATCTCTGTTGAGACTGAGTTCATTTATCTTAGGTATGGAGATTTTTTGTAGAAAGAGGGATCCGTAAAGGTAATGTTTGTAGACCAATTTCAAATTAGGATGTACATTATTTCTTTAAGTTTGATTTATGGACTCCTCTCTCTTTACCCTTCATCCTCAGAGAAACTCTATTCCGTATTTCTATAACAGAATTATTATACATTAAATGTATCATTAATAAAGTGAATGGTTGGAGAATTGTTCAGAAGTTCTGGATGTATTTGACTCAGGGAATCTAGCTCAATTAGTATTATATAAATTTGTTTTGAAGAGGACAAGCAGTATCACATATTTCTTAAGTTCAGCATGTCTTCAAAATTTACATTCCACAGCTTCTATTCTGACTTGGCAATGTAAACTCACTCTGTACTTCTGTTGATCACACCTAAAACCGCCAGTTGAACTACAAAAAATAACTCGAGACTCTACCTGTATTACTTTGAAGAGTCTGGAGTGTAGTAGGAACTTTCAAAGGCAACTACATGGGACTGAGTTTTCTGTCCCTCTGCAGCCTCTCCTAGCAGCTTTCCCCTGAAGGTAGGTTCTAGGTACAGAGTAATATAAGACAGTAGTACCAGTACTAGTGATTAAAACTCCAATAAAAACCATGTCTTTCTTCCCAGAATAAAGACATTGTGTCCATCTACAACTATATGAAAAAATATAGAGGGATCTCTACAGAACTCCAACAGGGGCTGGAGCTCAGTTTCAGTGCATTTGCCTAGCATATGAGAGACAATGGGTTAGATCCTTAGCACCACATAAAGACATTCTGTCCAACTACAAATTTTTTTCTAAATAAATCAAGACATAAAAAATCCTAGTTGGTCACCACTGTTATTTTCCTAACAAAAGGTTGGTTTAACATTTGAAAAGTAACCAATGTTAATTACTACACTATAGTGGAAAAATTATTGAAGAGAATGATAAAAAGCAAAGATTAAATAACTTTCTGGATTGTGGCTCAGCGGTAGAGCCTAGCATGTGCGAGGTGCGATCCTTGGCACAACATAAAAATAACTTCTTCTGCCTGACAAGGGGCATATACAAAACTTTAGTCCTTTATTAGCAAATATGTTAGCAAATTAAGTTATTTTCCCCTTGAGATTAAGGCAAAGATTCCTGCTTGTACCACTTCTATACAAAACTGTTCTGGATATCCTATTCTTTGATGTCTGATTTCAGATACCAGAAAAGTACTAAAACTATCCATTTGCAGATTTTTTTTTAAAGAAAAGCTCTCAATTTGGTATCTAACGAGGTTGCAGGATAAAAGATTAATATACGATTAGGAAAATAATGCCTAAAAATAAATATAACATTATATAGTCTCTGTAAATTTAATGTATTTCCAAATTATACCAAACATCTTTGTAGAAGTAAACAAGCTAATTCAAAAATACATATGGAAATGCAAATATTCTCTTATTTTAAGATGAACATCGTAATCTGATTTAAAATCTTACCATAAAGCTACAGTAGTTTGATACTGTCAACAACACAGTGGCTTAATTGAATAGAATGGAGAGGATCCAGAAACAGACCCACACATATACACTCAATTGATATTCTGGCATGCAACTTCTGAGGGTGCCAAATGCATTACTCTTGATTGGAATGAGTTTTCACTCACTGCAGTGTTTTATTTATGGAATTTCACTGTTAGGACTTTCCTCTGAGTAATACTATGCTAGACAACTACATACACTTTAGTTGTCCTAATTACCTTCTCACATCACCAATGTAGATGGTTGTCCTCTGGTCCCCCATAAAACTGTACTCCTGATTTCAATCTAAAAGTAGTTCAGATACACCTTCAACTCAGAGTAAGCAAAATTTTGTCACATTTTCAAAACATGCTACTTCCTTTGGGCCACAACTTCAGGTGAATGGAGTAGTATATTTAGGGCATAATCTATGAATGAAAACCTTGGCCTTCAGATAATAAGCAGGCATTGCTTACTCACTGTTTGAATACTTTACAGAATATTAGGCTAAGTGATAAGAAAAAATATGTCTGTAGGCTGGGAAGTAAAGCTGACCTACACCTTTTTTTTCCCCTTCTTCTCTCCAGTCTCCTCTTAAATAAACCTTAGATTGTCTATCACCAAGTCAGACCCTCTAGGAAATACCCTAGGGCTCCTTACCTCTTCACATACAAAAAGTGCTAGAGATCAAGCCAACATGAGCCTATGTTAAAACTGTAGACCTATAAGAATGCAGAGATGAGAAGTCTCATATTTGGCTGCTGGTAGTGTCATTCACAGGAAGTACCAAAGATAGCAGTGTCTCACCAAATGCAAAGGGACATAACCACAAAATATGGAAATGTTCCCCTCATGTCTGCTGTGTAACGGATGCAAAAATCCAACTAAGTGCGTACTCGAGGTTTCTTACTAGTGAAACATAGAATGAAACAAGGTAATTCAGGATCAAATGAGAACAGAGCAGCTACAGGCTCACAATAGAGATGAGTACATTTCCTTTGCTATCTGGAAAGCACAACAGGGGGCATTGTGCTCGGAGTTCTCTCTCAGCAAATTCTCCAGTAAACCAGGTATTTTTATGAGGACGGCCAGTGTTCTCCTTTATAATAGAGCTTTGCCCCAAGTGTCACTTACTACTCGTGGCTATAATTTTACACAGCCAGGATTTATCCATCACTCAGAAAAGGAGTTAAAGAAATATTTGCCTTTTTTTCTTTTTTTGATATAAACATGATTCCCACTGGGTCTGGATAATACTGAGATTGTATTAGCGCTTAAAAGGAGAAAATGTCTTCAAAGCTCAGGAGTTTCCTCATTTTAAGTCATGCTATCAAACCAAGAACTCAGAGTGGGGGGAAAAATGAAACATACTTCATTTGCTTTACTATATACTGATAAATTAGAATTATAGTATCGCTGCAAGCATATTTAGGGGGACATCATAGAAGAGTGGTT